GACGTCATTCGAATAGAGCGGGCGTTCGATCTGGGGTTACCCGCGGTCATTTACAGTAAAGCCGCTACAACCGGCTACTTCAAGCCCTTTTTTACTTGGGAACCACGGAACAGGAAAAATCCACCTTTCCACAAATATGAACCGTTTTCAAAATATTACATCTATGCCGTGATTTTATTGTGGATATGTAACATGTAACGAAGCTACTGCCGTCATCCTGGGTGACCTTGAAGGTCAGAATTCTTGTTGACGCTGTTATAAAATCCAGGTCCCCATATCCACGTGTCATAGCATGCGTGCAAACATGGTATTTTAACCATTCCCAAAAATCGCTCAAATTACCTCATTGAGGGCTTGTTTGGAAGAGGAACAATTTCCGCAGATTTCTGTCTTAGGGATTTTTAAAATATGGCCGCGATTATGAATTATCGGTATTTAAAGTTAAAACACTGCGTTTTTAGCTCTTCTTTTGACTGTAAGTCGAGTTTTAGTTAAAAAATAAAAAAATCCTAAGACAGAAAGTTTAAATTTACTGTAATATTTCTAAAAATCCAAAAATCTAACCTTATTTTTAATTTTCGGGGCCTCTTAAAATCAGTTGTTTGGTTGTCGTGAACCCTTTTTGAAATCCGAAATTGATCTCATTTGGAAGCAAATGTACACAAAGCGGAGCAAAGACAGTTCAAGAATAACATTTGAGGTAACCAAAATCACTTATTACATTTTATTTTGACGAGTATTTACTCTCCAATTACTTTTGTTTATTTTCAAATTTTACCCGTTGCCCCCGGGCCGGCCTGGGACTCCCGCGCGGCCACGTTCGAACGCGTTCTGTAACCCGATACCTCCCTAGCAATGCGACTTTTAGCCTAGCAACCGACCGCCGTGTTTTTACCGGACCATTTTGCACCAGCCCTCCCCCCCCGGTAAATATCGTACAGTCCCTAAGACATGAGAGAAATACACGTGGTACGAATACTATATATACTATATACAAGGCCACTGTCCTTTCAAGCACCATTATACAATGTAGAATGCATAACATTATACAACGTAACGCAAGCAAGGCTGAATTGAATTATGTAACATCGTTTGATAATGAAACACATAACTCAAAGACTTTCTTCTAGCGATAATTAATGCCTATGTATATGATACAATAGTTGTAGTTGATGAAGTCTGATTTTAGCTGCACTCATCAGTGCCCACTTCACCATTATTTACACGAGGTAATATGATACTGCTGTGCTGTGCCACATGTCGGCTTTTGAAAGTTTTGGCGGGCTTGAACTGTGTGTTGTTGCCTCTAACAGGCTTCGGATGGCGGCTTGAAAGAGTAGAAATTGACCAGAAAGAGAGATAACATGCCAGGGGAGTTGGTCAAAGCTAGATAGAGAGTGCAGTTTGCGGCAAACTGTGCTCTCTAGTGCCCATGAAGAAACGGTACAGTTGCAACTGGTTTTATAATAACTAAACGTCCCAAGGTGTACGTTCTTTTTTGTGAAGATTAGTGTGGTGTCGGTGACTTAAATTTGAGTCAAATTTGAGTCAAGGTTTATTTGTTGTTGTTTTTTAAATCGTTACTACCGCCCACCTAATGTACAACAATATCCAACCAATTACAAACATGAAACCCAACTCTATCACACTAACTCTGACCACGACCAGTCAGAGTTAGCCTTTTAGTTAACTCGAATTTTGACTAGATTCTAACGAATTTATGACGATCAAGACCAATCTTTGCTCAAACTGAATTTCTGAATAGTCAGTGTCGATGCACCAGGTTACTAGCAATTATGACGAAAAAAGACACTCGTTGCGATTGACTCTTTTTTTTTACAATTTCCAACATGTACTCACAAGACGTGGTGACGGCACACTCAAGTTTTTTAAACTTATATTAATGCCGCAACCAACTCATTTTCACCTGAGCGAAGTGAGGAAAGTCGTGTAAAGTGCCTTTCCCAAGAGCACAAGGTCGGTGGCATGTCAGGACTCGAACCCGGGACCTCTAGGTTCCGAGTCGAGCACTCTGAAGCTACGCCACACGACCCCACGGCACTCAAGATTGACTCAAGATCTGCAAGCGATTTAAATACTCTTATACAGATCAAGCCTTATTACCTCCAGTGACGCCCACCTTTCTCAGTACGTTGGTCTCAGATGAAAGTTAGTTCTTGCGGTAGAGCCGTCTGTGTGGCGCAGCAGCGTGCTAACAGGTAATGTTATTTGTACAGAGGTGAGTACGCTGTTCTTTGTTCGCCTGTGTTTGTCCCTGAAAGAACAGAGTTCGTGTTACCTGGCGCGCGGGGCAGGTTTCAAAACAACGCGCGGAGGGGTGAGAGGTCACTGTTGTTGATGTTCGTCCGTCGTTCTCGACGATGACCAGTGACAATGTGGGGTCGTGTGGCGAAGGTGCAGAGTGCTCGACTCGGAACCAAGAGGTCTCGGTTTCGAGTTCTGACTTGCCATACCCCTGGAAGCGAAACTCGTTTTCACGGCCGCAAGAGCCCTTCGCTCGCCGGTGTAAATTAGCGCGACGGGGGAGTCTAGCCCGGGGGGAGTTTGGCTGGCCCTCAACTCCCCCGTAGCGGTAATTTAGATATGTGGGCGAAGTTCTCTTGGCTGCCGAAGGAAAACGACTAACGGCCCGATACTAGTTTGGCATCCAGGGTAGACATGCGACCGATCTTATGCCTTTGGGAAAGGCATTTCACACGACTTTCCTCACTTCACTCAGGTGAAAATGAGTGTTGTGTTGGTGGCGGCATTAATATATATAAGTTGAAAAAACTTGAGTGTACCGTAATCACGTCTTGTGATTGCATGTTGGAATATAAAAAACAGTGACATCAGCTTTTGTGTGTCCGGCTGTGGCTCACCAGTCCTATACGGGCTCTGAAGACTCTGCCACGGGTCGGGCACAGGTGGGTTGCAGGAGTAACATAGAACGTACATGTAGAGTTGAAATATTTTCTAGCCAGTAGTTATTTATAACACTCTGTCAAACACAGTAACCGTTGACCATATACATGTATGTAGCATTGTGATAGACTCATACCAACTAGTAACTTTATTATTTGCCATACATTGTACCCGTGACAATCGTGCAATAAACTTTGACTTTATGACCGACCCCCCCCCCCGTAGGACCGAGGGTCAAATGTTGCAAAATTACATATATATATATAAAGACTTAGTAATTCCTCATACATAGGGATATATTTGACACTCACGTATGTCTCCAGCTTGACGCACACATGTATACAAAGTCGCACAAACACATGAATGTCCAACTTTACACACACACACACACACATACTGGATAGGACACACCCATGTATATGTTTCACTTTACACATACACATATCATGTTAGGACACACTCATATGTGTCTCTCATACATACACACACACATATATGGTAGGACACACTCATGTATGTTTCAGCTTTAGAAAGGACAGACTAGTACTCTTAACAGCTCAGTTGCTCAGACAGCAGATAGCTCTTTAATACTAATCTTAGGATCGCAATTGCAAAGAAGAAGTGTCGGCTTGGGCCCCCTGTTTTGTTTTGTTTTGTTTTGTTTTGTTTTGTTTTGTTTTGTTTTGTTTTGTTTTGTTTTGTTTTGTTTTGTTTTGTTTTGTTTTGTTTTGTTTTGTTTTGTTTCAAGGGAAGGGTAACATTAGAGTTTGAAGAATCGTCCCGACTTTTGTGTATGCTGATAGCCTAACTGACGGTTGACATAATTTTTAATTTTTCGTGATAACTGGTAACTTTTCATCTTTGGGGCAGATGCAGCTTTGGGACAGACGGCGTCGCAAACGAAGTTTTGAAGTATTGCTGTTCTAAGTCTGATGACCCCATGTCTAACACCATAGCAAAGATAATCAACACCGTATTCATCAAAGGAGAGGTCATGCCGGCTCTGAGGCATTTAGGCATTCTGATCCCTCTCAAAAAATCCGGCAAGCCACGTGCGCCGTGCAGCAGTCTCCGAGAGAGGGAGGGAGAGGGAAAAATAGACAGAAGGAAGGAGAGATGTAAGATGTCTTGTTAACCTGTGAAAACTTAAAAACCAGTGCCCTGAAACTATAGATATGGACCTCTCCTTGGTGCTGAACTCACCATCAGTCTAGGGTACGGCACATACCTCTCCTTTTCTACCCTTTACCAGCCCAAGCGAACACATTTTACACCTGGGTGGAGTGAGGGAATTCTAAGGACACAATGTCTAGCCACTGTATTGGTGCCACACAAACAAGCACGGGAAGAGATAGCGAGAAGGCACTAAGAAAAAAGAAGGGAGATAGACAAACAAACCAAAAATAAAACATCAAGTAAAGTAAATATGAAGTAAAGTTGTAATTGCCATGCTGTATTTGCAAACATTAGTAACATGCAATGGAAACTTACCTACTTCTGTGAAGACCTTAACCAAGTACCCGGCAAGCAGAACGGTGAGAACATCAGGCTGGGAATGAGGTAAGGTGACATCCCTCCCGTTCACCCTCACTGCCAAGTGCTGTCCCAGAATCACGTCCACCCCGTTGATCTTAAAATGGACTCTTCTGGTCCAAGCAAATGAGTTCATGTTGTTGTTGTTGACTATGACACTGTAGACGTCACCCTTAAAGTCCTGGGACAGAATGTAGCTGCACGTTCCTTGGAAGTTGAAAAGTTTCCCGTCAAAACTTTGGTAGTGTGGATCTCCAAACACTGTGCAAAAACCAGGAGCTAAAAACAGACAAAGGATATTTAAAGAAACCTTTAATATAATTATTTTTTTTTGTCTTTGGTGTTGTACAACTCTACAAAATGATCACTTTGACATGGTTTATCTGTAATATACATAAAACATAACCTTTAAGTTTAAAATTTACAAAAAAAGTGAAATTACGACATTATATATATTAAATAATCATTTTCAAATTCAGCATCAAGCTACTTTGATCTGAAAACTTTTCGACATTGAAAAATGCACAATTAGCTTTAAGTTAGTATATGATACTTTCTATACACCTCGGACAGCATTCTCCCTCAAACGTCTTGAAACTTTGGCCCTGGAAAGAGTTTGAATAAAAGTTAATCAAAGAGAGGGAGCATAGGTCTTGCTAAATGTGCCGTGCAGAATGATGGTAAGGAATAATTTCTTAACACGAGGCTACCGTATTCTACCAACTTCCCTGGGTTATTAAGAGCCCATCATCAGGTCAGCATGTGGTCTTGGTACCCCATGGAAAATCTAAGGAACTAGAGACTAATTCCCAAGGGAGATGAAAAAAAAATGAGCCCCTGGTATTTACAGCTACCACCCTATCCATTGAGGCAATGAACAGCTAATACCAATACCAAGCATCAGTAGATGGTTTAGTTTGAAAACAGAGTGAAACATCGGAGGTGACATCTGATTGATACCACATTGCTTTGGTAAGTTTTTTGCTAGGTTTTTAAATATTCCTTGTTCTACAATGTCCAATTCCTTGCCACTACTGTTTTTTCCAGTCAAGCGCTGGCACATGTACTAAAGTTTAGATTTGAATTTGAATTTCAAACATTTTGAAAGGTTATTTTGAGGTTCAGTGGCAATTTGTTATTATTAAGTAAATTGGGTTAGACTTTATAATGATAATAATAATGGTTTATTGGCTAAACATCACCCGTGCAATCGCAGCCTTATAGTGCTGAATTGATGCAGGATTTACAATCAGATGATACAAATGGTAAGAATACAAATGATAATACATATAATACACATGATGCATATTTGTTCCACATTTTGTAGAGCTGCCGCAAGGGTCTGTGCGGATGCCATTCGGCGCCACAAGGTGACCTCAATACGACTTTCCCCAACCGAAGTTGGGTACCCATTCACGCATGGGTGGAGTGAGGAAAGCCCTTTCCCAAGGGCACAACGTCGGGGCGCATGTCCAGACATGTCCCGGGTACGACTCGGGATCGAACCCTGGTCTCCCCGGTTTACAGTCGATAGTCGTACTCTACCCGACGCCACTGTGGCTCCTCGCGACAAAATGTAAGAGTTAGTCAAGGGAGAATAAATACCAAAATGGACGAAATGTAAAGCATGACTTAAGGATGTGGCCAGCCCAGAAACGTAATATTAGATATATCTTTTATATAAATTTCTGGTTTATCGAGCATTACCGTGCTGCAATATTTTTAAAAGACCGACACGTAGTACTTATTTAGTTTACGCAAGTAAATCTTGATTGTCGAAAAACGTTTTTACGCTAACCAACTGCAAAAAATGTATCCGTGAATAGTTTCATCAGGTTGGTAAGACACTGAGTAAAGAGATTCTTTTTCCACAACCAAGTCTTTTATTCAGCCGACGTAGATAAATAATTGTACATTTGGGAATGCATCTGTAGCAGCGACACCTGTGCTGCAGTGCAATGTGAACCAGTCAGAATTGCCCTGAGGAAAGTGACAGACGGTCAACAAAACGTCGGCTGAATAAAAGATTTGGTTGTGTAAAAAAGAGTCTCTTTACTCAGTGCAAAAAGATATATTATTACCTATATGCGATTATGGTTATGGTTACTTTGATTTAATGGGGCACTTGTATGTCTGCATGTGTTTTGGTGTCTGCGTTGTGTGACAAAAAGGGGTCAAGGATGCTTGAGAGTGAACTGAAAAATATTGAAACGCACAATTATGTTCATTTTCTGCATCATTAGATCGTTTAAATGTTTCCAGTTCATCAGTCAGTATTTAACCGACTTTTTCGTTAACGTTGTGGCATTGCGAAAGGATAGTAAGTAGTAACAATTATGAACTTCTCCAATCTTTCATCCTTAAAATTCTTTAAGGAAATATAATAGAAAGAAGATAAAATGTAATAGGAATAGAGAGTGAAAAGAGAAATAATGGTTAATCTCATAAATGCTACACTCTGGACGAAATAAGCAAGAAAAAACTTTATGCTATATTTTGATTAAATTGTCCCCATACTCAATGTCATTGAAGTTTAATGGTCATGAAAAATCAAAAACAAGAAAGGTAAATAACCTGTGTTTTTTTGTACAAGGTTGCACTGCTAAAAGGGCAATCTTGTACGAATCACTGGTCCGGAATGTGTCGAATTGTGTTGAAGCTTCCAATTTTCTGAATCATCGCACATCAATGGTCACATTTGGACCGTTGTCAAGCTCTTACTTTGATCTTAGAGCGTTGACCTGAGACTGGGGTGAACTATGTGTTTGGGTGAAAATAGGGAGGGAGGGAGGGATTTGTGCACGTGTGTGTGTGTGTGTTTGTGTGTGTGTGTGTGTGTGTGTGTGTTGTGTGTGTGTGTGTGTGTGTCTGTGTGTGTTGTGTGTTTGTGTGTGTGTACGCGCGCGTGTGTGTGAGGGTGGTTGCGTGCGTGCATGCGGGCATTCGTTTGTGTGTGTGTGTGTGTGTGTGTGTGTGTGTCAGTGGGTGGGTTGCGTGCGAGTATTCATGCGTGTGTGCGTGTGTCAGTGGCTGTGTGCGTGTGTGCGTACATCCGTGCGCGTGTGTGCGTGTGTCAGTAAGTGGGTGCGTGCAAGCGGGCAATTATGTGCGTGTCGGTCTGTGTGTGTGCGTGCGTGTATGTGCGTGTGTCAGTGGGTGAGTGCGTGCGGGCATCCGCGCGCGCGTTTGTGTGCGTGTGCGCGTACGTGTATGTGTATGTGTGTATGTGTGCGTGTGTCTGTGAGTGGGTACGTGCGTGAGGGGATCCGTGTGCATGTGTGCGCGTGTGTGTCTATGGATGTGTGTTTTCGTTTGTGGGTTTGTGTGTGTTTTGTGTGCGTGCGTGTGTTCGTGCGTCTGTTTTTATGCGTGTGTGAGTATGCTTGTGTGGGTCTTCTTTGTCTGTATTGTGGTATGTGTTTAGGGGTGTCTGAAGCCAGTCAAGTGAATACTTATCTATGTGCATTAATGAATGAATGAATGAAGACCTTTATTGTACATTTTGCCCCACTGGACTAAAGACAGGTCACATATTGACAAAGTACATCAATGTTGATAATAAAACTGCTATAGCACACAAGTACTTTCAACTTCCTCTCGCTTTCTGGTAATCTTATAAATGTAGTTGGCTGTATGAGTAGTTAGAGCTGGTTTGTTAAAGACTACAAGGAATATAAATTTCTCTATACTATTCAAATACTTAAATTGGGAGTATTAGCTTGACACAAAATCGAAAAGAACGTCAATGACCGCAGAACCCAACCTTGTCCTTGGACGGAGGTCGATGACCGCAGCGACAGCATACACGTCACTTGTAAGACCGAACCTAGAATATGCCGCAACAGTATGGGATCCATATACAAAGAAAGACAAAGAGAAACTAGAAAGGGTACAGAATCAAGCTGCAAGATTCTGTATGAACAACTATGAAAGAGGTGCTAGTGTCACGGAAATAATATTTTTAATATTATTAGAATAATGTAGTAATGACTCAAAGTAACATGTGCTTCCTAACGTTATGATAGGAAACAAATTAATAAAGAAATATACCAATACAGAATAGGACCTGTACATTGGGCACTGACTACGCATATTTCCAGGAGGTAGTTACGTTAGGTTGTTAACACAGATTATGAAAAACGTTTACGCTACGTGGTCAACCTTGACCTCAGTAAACCTCTCTACATTCAGTAGGCTTTATTATGAAGCTTCACAATGTATTGTGCAAACCTCGACCATCCAGCGGATAAAGTTTTGCGTTCAGAGAGATTTCAGAGCGTAACAAACCATTTATGATAAAAAGATATGATGTCGCATTGCTTACCTTCTTTAGAGATTTAGAAATTGTACAATGAATATATATATTCCTACCTCTAAGACACAAACCGACAGCAATCTTGGAGATATTCAAGGCTGAACCGCCACGAAATAGCTTGTCTAACCAAGGACGGCCTTGGTCTAACTGAAACGTTCATTTGAAGTTATTGTGAGTCAAACTGAAATGCCAAAGTTTCACCTCTCACATTGTAGTAGGTATGAACAACAATCAGAGCTTGCCTTGTTTTGTTCGTGTGTTGTTGTTGTTGTTGTTTTTTTTTGGGGTAGGGGGGTGGGGGACTAATCTCAAAAGGACCGTCATCAACTTTAGAAACTGTTAGAAATTTTAGAACTACGTTCAAAATCCGAATTGACTTCCACGACCACGGGTCAATGACCGCAGAACCAACCTTGTCCTTCGAACCATGGACGGAGGTCGATGACCGCAGCGACAGCATTTTTTACACGTCGCTTGTAAGACCGAACCTAGAATACGCCACATCAGTATGGGATCTATATACAAAGAAAGACAAAGATAAACTGGAAAGGGTACAGAATCAAGCTGCAAGATTCTGTATGGACAACTATGATGGACAACTATGAAAGAGGTGCTAGTGTCACGGAAATAAAAAGAGACCTACCGTGGATGTCACTGGAAGACGAAAGAAAAATGTCCAGACTATGCATGATGTACAAATGACTAATAAACTGGTGGACGTCACAACTAAGTACCTAATACCAGTCCAGAAGAGAACAAAAAACAGCCATGCCTTCAGGTACCAGAGTTATCAACCAACGATTGAGGCGTTCAAGAATTTATTCTTTCCTAGAACTATCGCACAGTGGAACTCACTGTCGACGTCACCAAGTACAGTAGGGGCATTGTCATTAGATAGCTTTAAACAATATCTGGAGTTAGATGTTCAAGGGTTAGGTGTAACGGTGTACTGTAGCCAGCTAACAGGGTTCAGCCGGGTCATCTGTCGTGTTGTTGGCCTGACATTCCCACTGCTGGTGACAGCACTGACCAAGAATAAGGTACGTATGGAGAACATTAATCATAGATACACTTTCTGAATATTCATTAATATATATCTTACGTTGCTTTGCATATATTGTATCTGTCATCTCTTTCTATTTTACCCATTAATAACGTGAAGGGTGAACATGATTAGATGTTGAGAGAGAAATCTGTAATTGTAAAGCTGTGGTAGACTTTGATGCAATTTGTTAATATTAAAATATTTCTGTACATCTATTTAGCTTATGGGCCAAGCAGGTTTCAAAAGTAGAGGGATAATAAAATGGTATTCATTGTATTGGTCGTTTGTGTTTATCTGGCATACAATCTCGGTCTTATAAGTGTGCCGATGTGTTATAGAGTGAGTTGATGCCGTCAACCAGTGTTTGCAGCAACTCGACCTCGGTACGACCCAGTCGCTGGCGGTTGGACAAGTCAAAAACTCCTCCTTTAGCCTCAGAGGTTTCTGAAATAAATTAGTCACTCTGTAAACCAACCAACCAACCAACCAACCAACCAACCAACCAACCAACCAACCAACCAACCAACCAACCAATGGATCAATTAGTTAATTAACCGACAAGCATACCACAGCAATGAGCAACCAATGAGCTAACGGTGACCAACCTATCAACTGACCAACTGACGGACCAATAAAAATGACTAATGCTTAGCCATATTACGTTTATTTTTAATCCAAGATATGCGTTCTGTATCGGTATAGCCAGTATAGCTGCCCTTCGGCGTTACACACCGGCTTAAATTTCAAATACTTTAATGTACAAATGCTATAAACGAATGTAAGTCATATTAACTAGTTCCTACCTCCATGTCGGCCCCTAACGTCCAACCCAAGCTGACGACATGCGTTCTTCAACTGGACATCGCTAAGTGAACTGGGTACTGTCACGTGGACGCTAGCGCGCATGCCCGTGCCGAGGTTTGTTGGGCAGCTGGACAGGTAGCCATACTGCTTGTGAAACGCAAACTCAGTCTGCGCATGCTTCAGCAGAGCCTTGTTGATGGCGTTGATGCTACGAGACAGACGATCGAACACCTGCTGAACATCAGCTCCTATTGGTTTGGTTAGAGAAGTCATAAAAGTTTTGATTCATTTTTGCTGTTTTATTGGGTCTAGCAGTTACATCCATTTGTTGCATTCCAAGCGCAATGTCTCTTTGGATTATGCTTTTCAAAATGGCGGCCATTTACTTGGGTACGGTAAAACCTAATCACAGATTGGTTGCCTACTTCAGAAACTTAGAGAACAAATAAATTACAGCTACGTAATAAAAAATCAAGAACCTTGTGACTTAATTAAATGTAGCATTATGAACACAAATGGATACATATATACCTTTCTGCATAGAGATGATCCTAAGATGATCCTCCTCGTTTACCCACACCGAAAACGTTTTGGCTTTGTTGTAGAAGATGCCACGCCCTTCCGGCCAGTGTCGACGTATCCCTGCAGCCGTCTGATACAGGTCATTCTCCTGGTCAGAAACAATCAGCACATCAGTAAAGCGAATCATGCAATTAGCTTTGAAACGTTTTCTCTTCTTGCCATACTGCAATGGTCACTGATTGCCGGCTAAGGTTTGGGATGCATGTATTTTTCCATGCTTATATGCATATGTGAGGTTCACTTTGTATTAGGGATACACATGGTCTTCTTACCTGAAATAGATATCCACTCATAACCAGGTTCTCTTTTTCCAGACTTGTCAAGGACGCGTATGGGTAATAGTCTCCGGCAAGGTCACCTTCAAGGTCGTCCAGTACAGTCACCAAGACACCCTCTACCTCCAGACGGTTGTCTCGAGAGATTCCTGCCGGAAAGCCTGTCTCAACCAACACATGATCAACCAAATAGAAAATCATTGCATTTAAGAACTGTATTTTAACAGATATATTTTCATAACTTTCTTTATCTTATGTCTGCACAGTAAGAAAATATTCACAAAAATTTACGTTAACCTACCTAGGCAAAGAGGCAAAAGGATGTGAAAATATAATCTTAGAGATGTAATGGCGAGTGTAAGACAACCAACGTAAAACTTAGACGACGAAGAAGAAAACATCGCTGTGATTATTGTTACTTTTAAGGAGAATTTCGGGACTATTGTTAAGGCATGGTTGGAGGTGGGAGGTTACAAGTTTTCGATAAGAAAGGTTGGATTTGATTCTACCGTAATTAGCCAGGTTTCTGACCACCCTACACCTTGTAGACAGGATTGGTTCTTTGTTCTCGATCATGGATGTCAAACATCGAGGATTCAGGTTGGAGACGTGTTCAGGTATCTCATCGATTCCATGGCATTCCCTACAAGAATCGAGGTAGAGATAGCAAACAGATTATCGAACCCTAGCAAATGTTAGGAATTGTTTGATCATGATTAAACTATACAATTTAAACACATAATAACAAATCGTAGCTTTTATTTAAGGGGGGAGGGATTTTTGTATATATTGGAACTGGATTGCTGGTGGTGGAGATATAACCGATTACATTACATCATAGAATGGGTCATTACTCATATGGCTGTATGGCATGGCGTCAATGATGCCAAATTTAACCATTTCTTTTTCATAGAACCATTTTATATTCTTTGCGACATTATACCATATCCTGCCCTCCAGGACATACGACCGGTCACAGCCTTTTTAATCATGCGAACGCCAGTCTCCGCCCACCTACTTTCAATCCTTGCAGCCGGATATGAAACACGTTTGAAGCACTCTCAACCAACAATATTTGTCGCTTAAGTAAACTGAATAAGTTAAATCAAATTGAATTCACTTGATAAGAGGCTCGAAGATGTTGCTGTACAGACGGTAGCATTCCTCGTCTCCCGCATAAACCCCCACCCTGCTGCTGGGGACTTGCACTCCACTCCGAACCACGTCGTTAATGGTGAAGTCAGTCAAGGACGTCTTCTTGTCCTTAAGGAACAATAAGAGTCCATCACATGTCGCTATCAATAATTTGAAACTTACAGTTTCGTCAACATTTTACATGTAGGTACTAAAGACTACAAACAACGAAACGAATTCACGATGCAGCACTCTATCAAAATTGTATTTATTTTCAGCGTGGTCACGTTCGTCATAGTGCTCGCTCCTACGACTAGTTTTTAAGTAGTCAGCAAGAAAAGAAAACTGCAATAATCTAAGGTATTGTTTTCCGAAATAAGACAGCTGAACTTTGTGCTATCGCAAGGATGCCCCAAGATTGCGATTTTAGGACGATCTCACGATTGTTACCAAACCCATAGGGATATATATATACACTCAAGCTAGGTTTCTTAGCTCTTGCCTTTAACTTTGTCCACAATTCTTGGTTGAGGACTTTGCGTCCGAGGCAACGATGTCGGCTGGTCCATGTAGGGTATTGTAGTGCTGCACCTATCTGGGAGCATGCCATGGTTGTGTTCCTGTTCCTAAATGGTATGCTATCTTTTGGTATCAATGTTGTAACAATAAAGTATTCTAGATGGATTTTTAAAGCCTAATTTACTTTTTAATACGTCAGATATCAACATTTCAACTGCTCGAGGGATCTCTCTTTTTATGAGAATCGTAATCAATCTATGCGCAGATTAGAGCACCCTATAGTGTGGTAATGATTGTGAACAATTTCGTGTTTACTCCAAATACAGCATTTTGATTACGGATATGGTCAAATATTTTGAATAAGGTATTGTTATTACTTAATTAGGCCACAGCAAGTAATTTTTATGGATGACATCAGCGCGCGCATTAATTTTAGTCTGATTTTGGAAAAAAAAAAACAAGAAATTTTGTTGCCCTCTGACAGTGGTCAACATGCCGAAAATGGGCAAAGATGTATGTTGCCATGCTGGAAGGTAGATGGCAGATAACTATGAAGAGAGGAGACAAGAAAAGGCTCTGATGTAATGTTTTGTTTCTTACTTTGATGCAGTGATATGTGATGCTGGCTGTGTATATGTGATGTTCCCACTGAATCAAGACCATTTTGTACAACGATTGAGTCAAAATTTAACAATGTAGGAACCTTGTTTTTTGGGGCCCACCTTGTTTTTTTTCGCCCGCTCGCATTAGATTTGGAGTCTGCGGAGGATGTCATCCATAAAATTTACTTACTGTGGCCTTAGTAGTATACTGTTGTACGTTCCATTATGTATCTATCAATACAGCAGGATTAAAACAATAGTGGTATGGTACGAATTGACGCTGTGAAATGAATGTTGCAAAATATGTTGCAACAAAAGTACATGGTTTTTATCATGTTGCGCCACTTGTCTTGCAACGTACCAGGCCTCGCTTATATATTGGCGACAGATTTGAATATATGTTTACATGTAATGGTTCCCACAACGCAAAAATAGGTAGATAATATACATGTATATAATGTATACTGAGAAAGAAAAGAGAGAAAGGAGCTCTGTAAAATGTTTATATAAAGGAATGCTTTGTTATTAGAAAAAATACCGAAATTTGTGATTAGCCCACTCGATTGTAACACTTTATCAAAGACATGTGCTATCCGTTATTGTTTGAATAATTAAGATATGTTTTATTCGACATTAGGTCTTATTCAGCACACTTATTTTATTGTTGTCACTTTCTTTATGTAGTTTGCCATACATTGTATCATGTGCAATTGTCGTGCAATAAAGTTCTTCTTATTTCATCCTACTGTTTCTTATTTTTCGTATTGATTTGGTTAATTGTCCCTTTTCTCTTGCCTGGATGATTTTAATGATGAACTTTCATGATAGGATTTTATGTTTATTTGAATTGATAACACACAAAATATTTAAGATTCCATGTACATATCTATTTTATCTGTGACATGAATTTGTTTCTTCATGATTGTTTCGGTATTGTGGCGTTCAACAGGTATTCCTAAACATATGTCCCTCCATAAAACTCAATGCGTTGTAAATTGTTATAATAGAAAATTAATAAAACAAACAAATACGACTATCGTCTTTACGATAAGTTCTAGTCATATCATTTAAAGTTCTGGTTCTTGCAATTGTAACGTTGTAATGCATATATTCTTAAAGAAGTCCTTGTCAAATCAAAACCATGTACGAACCATTTTTTTAGAAATTCAATACAGCCTTGAAAATATCCATGACAGTTTATATGAATCTTTATTTATTTATAGCAATTTCAAAAGAACTAAAATAACACAGTAGTAGGCATTGCATCTAAACATTCTTATCAATCAATCTGTTTTATTGTTTAAAACTAAAGCAGACTGACTGATAAAAATTTTAAGGTAATTGAAAATCTAAGAAAAAAAGCTACACTTTGTATAAATGATCCTATTAAACAAGCCTTGCAATTCAACATGGAGCCATGCTATCATGAAAGTTCATCTGTGTTGTTAGTTACATGTTTAAAGTTAAAACTGTTGGTCCAACACACAAAAAATTCTCTCGCCTTAAGCTTTCAACCAGTCACTCTGGTCTTCCTCAGTAGACTGACCCAGTGAAGCTTGTCACGTGGCTTCTTTGAAGTGTGACGTCAACACTGGGTCAAAGGTATCTGTAAGGATTTTGGACATTAAACAAGACTATTTCTTGAGGGGGGGAGGAAGCCATATACATCAGGGCCCATCACCCTTCATTAAACCGCGACGGGGGCCGACATCGTCTACCAGATACTTTTTACGTCGTATCAAACATGACTCGGTTCGAATAAAAGAAAGAAGGTTGGGTATTGTGGGCCCAAATTTGACCACCGTAAAAAGAGCGCGACATTTCTAAATCTCGATGCTTCCGATTTTCTGAATGCTTACCCCCTATTACACTGTCGGCAAATCCTTCTTTGCTTTGGGTTTCATGCATCGCCTGGGGCAGACTAGGGTGTAACACAAGCCACTGTTATTATCACACATGGTTGACTCGGCAGATTTTAGCTTTTGTTTCAACTTGCACATGCGTATTACTTACGAGCCTCTTTTGTTAGCACGGTGAAGTGCTGTAGGTTTGATCAGCACTATCGTCATCGGCTCCGTACACAAAATTTCATCGAAACGGATCGTCATTCATGAACTTCCATCGGCATTTATTAGTACACTGCAATACGCCTGAAGTGTATCCACTATCAAGGAAGTTTTAATTGTCCACCTCAAGGTAAGCTAAGTATATCAGTTACTTTTCTCGTAAATCGGTTCATTAGAATGGAGTAACTTGATATCTAGCCTAAGGAATGTCAAAGCTTACAGAGCACATTCAAGCATGATTTATGCGTTTGAGAGGGCGCGTGTTTGTGTTTTTGTGTGTGTGTTGACCTGAGAGGGCGCGTGTTTGTGTTTTCGTGTGTGTGTTGACCTGAAGAAAGTACCTAAAATTAAACGTATTAAAAACTAGGTGGAAACTATATCGTAGACTTGTCTATGCTACAACCTTGACCATTGGCATTGGGGTCATGCTCTAGGTCGACGTACGTTGAGACGAATACCTTAAATATACTGTTTGGTCCCTTGAGAAAAGGTACAATTGTCCGTTCCACTTGCAACAGAACGAATGTGACCTATAAAGAGTCACCTACTGCGCCGTGGGTGCGACCATTAGCGTGCGCTGATTTAGAAAATTGGAAGCGTGAACACAATTAGGCACCTTAAGGGTGAGTGATTCAATTGTCTGATCATGAGTGTGTGCCGCGTGCGTGTGTCACACTGTGGCCCATGTAAGGGGTACTGGTTTACAAATCACGTATATTTGATTTGATTTATTGAAATTGTAAAGTCGTGTAAAGTGCCTTTCCCAAGGGCACAAGACCGGTGGCATGTCAGGCCTCGAACCCGGGACCTCTTGATTCCGAGTCGCGCACGCTGTCGTTGCGCCATACGACCCCATATTTCTAGGCGCCAAGTACGAAAAACATTAAATTCCTTACACTAATTACCAATGCCATTACACAGATGTCCTTCCTAACGTTAACTTTTCAGCAACTTGGCTACCCCACCCGATCCCGTCAATTCGGTAAACCTTTCTACGCTCTATGCTCAATAACGAAGATTTGCGATACGTTATGCAAACCTCGACCATCTAGCAGATAAAAGTATACGTTAGAACTGATTTAAGACGACTGGATGTGACAAACCTTCCTTAGATATTTAGAATTTGTAAAGTGAATATTTTCCTACCTGTGAGACACAAATCGGGTTACGATCTTGGAGATATTCAGGGCTGATCCACCTCCTGATTGTTGTTCATAATTACTCCCATGTCAGAGTTTACATTTCAGCTTGACCTGAAAAACTTGAAATGTACGTGCCGGTTAGACACTCAAGCTAATACTGTAGCTTGCCTAACCGACACGTTCATTTCAAATTTTTCAGGTCAAGCTTAAGTTTAACCTCAGACATGGAAGCAACTATGGACAACAATCAAAGCTTGCATTTTAGAGGAACACACAGTGTTTGATTGTACTAAATTCCATTGTCACTTCGTACATTTAGGCATTGGCATTTATTTATTGAATTCCATGTTTTCTTTTAACAGGGTGAACACATTCAGTGCTAAACGCATTGCTTATCAGGCGTGCCCTGTATAAACAGGTGCTTAGGCAGCAAACGAAAAAAAAAACAGTGAAATAAAGTTAAGTTAGTTGATAAAGATCATAATACGGACACATTTGTAACCAAATCTACAGTATTTTTCAGGATGGCTGACATCAATTCGACGGACGCCATACCTACGTCCTGCAAATTGCTGTGTGTTCTTCTCTTCTGTGGAATTCTATTTCAGTACGCAGGACGGACCAGTGTGTCTGTTGTGCTGGTGGATCTACAGATGCCGCCAGACAATAATACAAACACGAGTGTCTCTAAGGTACGCTATGTGTAGCTGCTTTTCATAATATATATTAAAGGATATATATATTGACACCCTGATTGTTTTTTGTATTTAATATGTATTTAAAACGTAACAATCGTTCTCATAATTCTTAATGTGATGTTGAACGTAAACTACCATTATCATTGTCTTTAACTATTCTTTAGACCTTCTGTAACAAAAATAGCAACAAAAATTTCTGTAATTTTCTAATTTTTCATGTAATGCTAAACGTAAACTATTATCATATTTATGTTTAACTTGACCACCTTTCATAACTATTCCTTAGACCCACTAGTAGCAAAAGTAGCAACAAAACATTCTGTTGGTATATTTTGAAAACAGTCTCAGATACAGTACAGCCAGTTCCAGGTTGGTGCCATACTGAGTTCAGTCTACATTGGCCTGCTGCCTTCAAGTTTCATCGGAGGTTATCTAGCCTATCGATATTCTGCTATGAGGTGAGGACTTTTGTATGAACGTTGAAGACTTTGGTTTGTGTATAATTGGTAGTTTTGTTTTAAATGGTACAGAGGGTTGAATGGAAACAAAAGCAAACAGGAGATTTATAGATTTATAACATGATAGCCTCAGTTCAGTTGTATGTTATAAAACGATTTGACAGGAATTGAGAACATGCTCATTTTTTTATTGACCAATAGCGCTAAATTTTCAGAATTTTCCTGGCCTCTATCAGCGCCAGTTCCATTGCTCACTGTGTTGCACCTTTTATGTTCGGTCGCTTTGAGACAGCAATAACCCAACGTGTTGTGGCAGGCCTGGCAGAGGTAGGTATTGTATTTAATACGAAAACAACAAACCACAAGAGAGGCTAGATATTTGACACATACAGGTTCAAGATTCGAATACGGAGACAATGATGAGTTCTAATATCAACTTAGATCGACAATATTATTAGTATTAGCATACCAAAAGTTTGTTTTAGGTGTCTTGAATTTTCGAGTGTCTTGCCCATTGGGTCAAGTCTGTTTCACATTTCGGTTACATTATTTGATAATATTTTAGAATATGGTAACAACGTTGTTTCATCCAGTTAAAAATTTAATTCTATTATCTCATGCTATTATTTATCAATGTTCTCCCCAAATTTGTATTGGTATTTTTGTCAGCACTGTCGCTTTATTGTCTCTTCTTACAACAGGGACTGTGCGAGCCCGCTGCTTACGGCGTGCTTAGCCAACACTTGACACCAAAGCAAAGTGCATTAGTTTCACCTTACATCTTTGCAGGTAATATTTCAAAAGGTCATGTTTATTCAAAATCATTGAAACGATTTGATAAATTTGGCAAATACTAATACACAGGTGTAAGTAGTGCGTGTAATGAATTAAAGTTCCCATACGATGCCATTTATGGATGACATAGATTTGGACAAAGACTTGAATATTATGAAAAACTGATTTAGAGACGACAGAAAACTAATAATATGCTTTATGTATAAAACGCGTATTTGTATAGTCAATGATAATCAATTATGATATACCAGTCCTGAAGTTAAGGTAATTTAGAGAAGTTAAAGCTAAAGTTTCTGTAACTTGTATTTTGTTTTTCAAATTTCTTTAGCATTGTATGTTGGCCAGTTCTTTGGAATATTCGCAACAGGCTTCATAACGCAAAGACTTGTCTGGCAGACACCTTTTTACGTGTTCGGTAAGTCAACATTTAACTACTAGTAGAAAGGCCAACATTTGCTTCGGAGCAAATGTAATATTTCATTCCCTCTCCCTCCCCAAACAAAAATAGAAGATTCTAAATAAATCATACTGCAGTTATACAAGGACAAGCTTTTTGAATCTCGACAGCTTTATTTACAAAAATGGCACTGGGCAATTATCTCCTTTTTTTTAACAAATGTACGAGGCCAGGCCAAGCACTTTAAAATCTCGACAGCTTTACTTTACACTTATCTCGATCTTATAAATTTTATATTGCAGGTATCTAAATACTACTAATGACGAGATTGTAATTACTACTAACGTTAGCAAAATTTTCACGGTCTGAGAAAAATGGACGTGTTCACGGAACTATATATTCACGGTGGTGACAGGTGCAGGAAAAAGGAAGTTCAGGAATTATTCCCTAACTGTAATGATAAGTTCACGGTACAGAGGTGTCAGTGAAAACCGTGAACATTGACCTCCCGCTTGCGTTGCGGTACAGTGAAAAAAAATCGGGATTTACAGTAATCAATTTACGGTGAATGTTTGCTTAGTTGTTTTGTTTGTTTGTTTGTTTTTATTCATTTAACCAGGGGGATACATATCGCCCGTGGGGCGCTTTTCAATGAGCCCTGGGCCTGGGGAAGACCCCAAACAAAAACATCAAACTCAAACTAATACAAATAATCAACAAAAGTAACTTATAAAGTTACAAAAGTTACTAAATAATACAAAAGCAAGGTAACTTAAGTAGCATACATTGCGCATGAAATCATAATACCAAAATAAGTGAAACAAAAGTGAAGCCTGACCATCATATAACATAGAACCAAGGTAGGACAAGAAAGAAATCAAGATTAAAATCAGGCTTGGAATTTGCATATCAATGATTGCCCAGTACATAAGATTGCTTGAAGGCTGCTAGGGTCCTGGCTGCTTTTAGGTGATGTGGTAGTGTGTTCCACAATACCACCCCAGACGAAGAAAAGGCACGTCTTCTGTATTCTAGCTAGTCATTGGCAACTGAAGACCTCCTTGCGCCCTGAGGCGAGTGTTGTGAGTATGCACGTATGATTGTCGTAAACATAGTTTTGAAATGAACGAAAACCGATGCGCGCACAGATGCCATCCATATTATCAAATCAACATGGCCTTATTTACAATCACATAAACCATGAAACCATACATGGAATAAGCTATATATATACTATAATTATCATAACATTTATTTTTAAAATCATGCCGGTAGCTAATTGCACGTACAGAGTAAAAGAAAGTAAAGTAAAGCAGTAGAATTTCTGTACTAGCTATATAATATTACTTCAGATTCGTCATCATCATCATCATACTATAGTAAGGAGTGAAATAAAAACATGAGCATTGCTTTGAAATATGAAGCACCAGTGGCTACTGTGGCTACTGTGGCTACTCTGATATAACTATGCTAACTTTTTAAAAGTCTTATGTTTTTAGATTTGAATATCTTTTTCTAGTAAGATTTGGAATACAATAGATCCCACTTTTTTCTGTAATGTCCAAAGAAGACAAGTGTTATATGCAAATCATTGTTCATGAACATGCAGGGGGCGTGGGAATGGCATGTGCAGCCGTTTCATTTGGATTTGCAGTGGCAGGCGTGGCAAAAAGGCAAGACGCCTCGAACACACCAAGCCAGAACAAGGACGACATGAAGGAAATGATACGAAAGGTGACAATTATCATTATGCAATTGATTCGAATGCCATCCAATTAAGTATACCTCCGTGGTTCTTCCAACATAACAAAATATTTCATCATTTTTTAATTCATTTTCATACTTATACAGCATATACTTATACATCATATTCAATTATAACGGTGTGGGTTTAACAAATATTTTAAATTCAGTATATAGTAGAGGGGATTCATTCCTCAAGCTAACCGACATCTTGCACACGCAGTCGTTCTCAGCAGGACACCTTAAATTAAATTCAATTATGGTCGGTCAAAGTCAACCATCTGTCGTCCAACAGGTTCCGTCAAGTAGAAATGTGACTGAGATTAATTATATATATTTATCATATTATATCATATCATATCATATCATATTATATCATATCATATCACATCATATTATATTATATTATATCAGCTGGGGCAGGAATAATAAGATTAGTCTCTGTTATCAAATTGTACATGTCTATGCTGTTTTTCTATCTTCGCAACCGTTGGGCAGTGAATTATAATCTACCAAATCTATTTTTCTCTGTAGAAAAGCATTCCATTTTGTCATATCTTCACGTCTACTGCTGTTTGGGCCTACGTTCTGATACAAGTAGCGGCTTACATTTTTGAGCCTAATATCCTACCACTGTATTTTGAGCAAAGCTTTGGGGTAAAGATCCAACTGGTAAGTCAAATTTTATACATATGTAGTAAATATAATACAAGCCTCCCAGCTATATAGAGGACCCGAGTAAATAGGAGGTTTATTGTGGTTTAATAAACATGCATTACTTTAAGGCTAGTTATCTTATATTTCTGTGTAAATATGGTGACATGACAGCAATGTAATTTACTCTGAATTTTATAGTCTTTTTTGTATCATTCATGTAGGTTGGAGTCCTAGCTGGAATTCCTATTCTGATATTCGGAGCGTTAGAGCCGCTCTTCGCTCTACTTGGAAATATACTCTGCAAGTTTGTTTCAACAACTGTCGCACGTAAAGCAATGGCTGTTACAGGTGTGTTAACGTCTTACAGCTACTGTTTAGTCCATTATACCAGTTGAGCCAGGTGCTAGGGCAATAACATCAGTTGCCACATTTTAAACTAAAGTACCTAATGCAAACGTGATCAATTTTCAAAACTGACACTGTTTGAAGCTGTCAGTCATCATGTATCTAGGACAGAAGTATCGTTTTGGGTGGCACTTGTTTTGGTGTTGTATGCTTCTGGTTCTAATGGGACTTGGCAGATATTAAGTTTCACTTGATTGACAGGGTTTCGACCCAGTATGCATTCGTGTAATCTCCAGGAATGCATGAAACAGAAACCATGTTTTAATAGTAGATCATGCCGAATTAACAGCAAGTAATTCATTGACCTAAAATCTATTACGTTTCTGAAGTATGGAATTCCTTTTCTTGTTATATATGCATTAACTCAAACTAGTACGCTTTGTTCTAACATCTAGAAGCCTATCTCATCAGCTGATTTAAAAAAAATCCTAAAAAGGAGATCTCCCTGTTACTTCAGGTTGTCTGTGCGTTTCTGGTTGCCTTTTTGTGGCGGCCTTTACCTCCAACTCTCTCGTCGCAGGCTGTTTTGTCGCCGTAGGTTTTGGAAGTTCTGCAGCTAGAGCGGCAGGTGGGTTCTTTGCCTCCGGGTACCGTAGTATTGAATTGAATTGGTTTGTCTGTATGTTTGCTTGTTATTTTAAGCTAAATAGAAAATTGACACACCTGACCTGTGAGTAGCACTGTGTTTTCATTCACGCAGTAGACATATCTCATCTGTCAATAAATAGACAATCGTATAATCTTTTACCCACAAAATAGGGATGCTTTGATCATTAACATATTAATATATTACCATCGCGTTATCATACAAATAGCAATTTATGAACTACAGTTGCTGATGCCAACCCATTTGACATTGCGCCCCAATACGCCAGCGTGCTAACAGGGTTCAGCCGGGTCGTCTGTCGTGTTGTTGGCCTGACATTCCCACTGCTGGTGACCGCACTGACCAAGAATAAGGTACGTATGGAGAACATTAATCATAGATACACTTTCTGAATATTTATTATTATTATCTTACGTTGCTCTGCAAGAGTCTATTCTATCTAACATCGCTTTCTTTGGCTCTTAAACAACAATGTTGAGAGAAAATTCTGCTATTGTAAAGCTGCGGTGATGAATGTTTACAGTCGAGACAGGAGTGGTCCCGAGTTTTGCTGATCAAGGCCAGTGTGTTTGCTGCCACCGCCGTGTTCTATGGAGTCTTCGGGAGCGGGGAAGAGCAGTCCTGGGCCGTGGCGGTTTCACAGGATCAAAACGAAGTCATTGAAGTTGATGAAAGTCAACGGGACGGTAGCAAAAATGACAAAGTCAATGATGAGAAGCGACCACTAGTCATAAAATGATATCAAATGTAACATATCCGAATACTGCTGGATAAATCATGGAAACTTCCGTATGTTTCAAGTAACATACATCACTCTTCTTTAGCACTACTATACTAATGTACATGCATATTATAAAATATTTTCTATAAATAGAATAAGAACCTTTCAATTCATATCGTTGTATGGCATTTTGATGAAAAGGCCGAACAGAACGACATAGCTTGTTAGCAATAACATGAATGATGGCATTCACCATATTCCAATTTCGTACTTTTCTCGGCCTGTATCGTGGGCATTCTGCATTCTGGCAATAGTCAACATCGCATCTTCATCTCTACAAAGCTGACCTCCACTCGGTAAAGGTCGTAAATACAAAGCCCTAGGCATTTCCTAGTATTTAATTATATATAGCATGTATAAAGTATCACATGAGATAATGAATATCATATCATACATCCATTTGACACTACCATTGGCTTCATCTTAGATAGCTTTCAGGTAAAATACAATGGAATAAGATAAAACATAAACATGTGTGAGGATTATCATACTATTACATGGGTAATGTTTATGTACACGTTTAAATGTATGATATTTTGCTCATGGGTCAAGCAGGTCTCAAAAGTATGGGAAAATACAGTTGTGTTTATCTCACACACATTCTCTTTCTCATAAGTGTGCCTATGTGTTATAGAGTGAGTTGATGCCGTCTGCCAGTGTTTGCAGTAACTCGACCTCGGTACGACCCAGTCGCTGGCGGTTGGACAAGTCTTAAACTCCTCCTTTCTGAAATAAATTAATCACTCTGTAAACAAACTAACTAATGGATCGATTAATCAATCAAGCAACAAGCATGCCACACCTATAACCAACACCTGCATCCTCTTGAACGCTTTCGAGCTGATGAGTTTCCGAGTCTATCAATCCTACGACAAAATTATAATACTTAACTTTTTCGTTATTAATCAGTACAAAGATAGCATGCAACCTATGTACAAGAACAAATGGTCCTGACTGGAACGTTGGTAAACAAACCAAACTTCGGTACACGTATCTAAAGTAATTTAAAAGTACATTATAGTACATGAATCAGAGTACCAGAATTTTCAATTCATCTTTTATAGTTGGTATCAGAGCTTGTCTGAGTTTTTGTTTGTTGCACTACAGTACAAAGCATGAAAGGTTGTGATAAGTTTAATTTCAGGCATGTAATTCATAATCTAAATCTCTTTGGAATGAACATAATTGAGCGTGTAATCACGTACGGTACTTTTTCAATGGGTTGAGCAAATGTTGAATTAGTAGACTAAGATGGCGAATAAGTTCCGAGACATATATCAAAGATATGAAATGAGTAGGTTTGTGCCATTTTTATTGACCCAAGGTTGTCATTACTTGGTGTTTAGTACTACAACCATTATAATTACAGGCGACAACATAACGAAGGGTAAAACTGGCATTTGCGTCACCGGATTTTGCGAAAAACATATCGCAACAACTTATCTTTTTTTTCCGTTTTTCAGAAACAGGAAGTAGTAAGCTATTTCAGCATATAAGCCGTTAGCCTGGGAAAATTTGTTTTTTTTTCAGGTAGGACCGTTGCAAAAAAAAACAACTATATTTTTCGTATCCAAAATTAACGTTTAACTACATTTTCTACCCAAATTATAGAGTCAATAGACAATAACCAAAATTCTATCGGAAGCCGGCTGGAAAAATATAATGAGATTTCCCGGCATACTTTTCTTGGCGGAGTTGTAGCCCTTCGGTCTGAGGGTGTCCGCCGGATCTAAAATCGTGAAAAAAACTCCGGTCCGAGACCTTAACCAGGAGGTTGTCTGATGTTTGACCTTTTGACCTCAACACATGGCACCTCTTTATGACCCCACAATGAATTAAATTCGTCTCTTTCTCTCTCTATGCCTTCCCACTCTCTGCAGCCGGCTGCTGCAATGCGTATATATATCACTAGATGTCGCTTCTAGGGGGAGAGGCAAACCAATGTCTAATGTTTCGCACTACGAGTCTGGCATTCAGGTAAGATACTAGTTTTACAGACTTGAGTATACGGTGTGTCATAAATTACCAAGAGCCTAATAAGTTTTGTAGATTGGAAGGGCTTCTTTTCTACGACCTCAGTAGGTAAGCTTTGTTTAAATTTCTCTGCGTGTTTTTCAGGTACATAGCGCGACAAGCAAACTACAACATGTAACGTTACCAATGTTGTGAACATGTGTCTGGGTTGGATCAATCTATGAATCGCGTCGCGCTACGAGTGTAGCTTTTGTGCAGGATAATAGTGTGAGAGTGTGTCAGAAATTACCGAGAGTCTTAAAAGTGCTGTAACTTCTTTTCTACGAACTCACTAGGTCAGCTTTGTTTATATTTGTAACGTTGAAATGTTAAACGTTGGCCCAGTTTTTCAGGTATGTGACACACCAACACACACACACACACACACACACACACACACACACACACACACACACACACACACACACACACACACACACACACACATACACACAGACACACACACATGCCCACACACGCAGACACGCACACACACACACACAGACATACACAAAATTGACAATGATAATGAACTTTATTTACATTGGGCGAAATACATCAAGTAATATATAAGGATGATAGGCAAGGTATGCTACATATCTTCAATATCTACAAAGTCTTTCTCCGTCTTAAACATTTGTACACGATCATACAACATTAAAAATTGAAATATTTGACAATTGGCAACGACGTCTCCTCTTTTTCGTTTAGCTTAAAGTTTTGGGGCTTTGTACGTAACATATACAATACTGAACTCGTGTCATGCGTTGGCTATAAACCTTTGAACAATAACTAGGCAACAGTAAGTATCGTGGACTATGTCGTAATCATTCTGCCCATTCCACTTAATGACATTAAATCTGAATCTAATAACATTAAATGATTATCGACCATCAAGTCTGTCTGTAGTTGCCCCGGTAACCAACAGTGTACCGGGGATATTCACCCTTCTCCCATTCCCATAATGCATAGCGCCATGGGTATATACACGGTATACAGTTAAAGGGCATAATATTAATGCACTAATAATTGGAACATTTTAATTTTTAAAAATCCAGTGCTTAAAATCAACATCCACTTTTAACATATCTGTGCAATTAGTTCACATTTCACATACATACGGATGGCGCCAAAACAGCCCACACCAGAAGTGCTCAGTTTGTGGTGTCACCACAAACTATTAGAATGTAAACAAACATGGCTGACAGCTGTGTTTCCAGATTTTAAATTTTAAACACACTCGTAAGGCGTCATAGTTTGACATCCCCACATCTTAAATGACACATGGAGTAGTGACAATGATAAGAAATTTTTTTAATACTTTATCAATATTCAAACTTTACAAATTCATTCGATTTTCTATCGATAAAAGTTTGGTCTCTGCTCTTGCGTCTACCTTTAAAGAACCCACCACACTTGTCAAAAGAGTAGGGGTCTTTCCCGATGTGAGTGGTTCAAACCTACAGTACGTACCATCTTAGAAAGGTTACAGTCACCTGTTAGTGTTACGTCAATTCTTGTGTGCTAAATCTCAATAAATAAATAAATAAATGATTGAACTCATAAATTCCATGCTATTTGATTGCCACCCCAGACTAGGACCACACTAGGACCCCGTTCAGACCAGACTTATATTAAGCGGTTTAAAACCGGTTTTAATTAGCCTAGTGTGAACGCAAAGCAACCTGTTTTTTAGGGGTTTAAATCAGATTTTCAAAGACCACCTCGGGAGGTAGTGTTTGGGGGTTTTCTTTCACCGAAAAACCTGGTCTGAATGCTTTTAGCCGGGTTTCCCACGCTAATTATTTAGTGGTTTCAACCGGTTTTTAAAAGTCTAGTCTGAACGGGGTCTAAATGATTGACATCCTCTTGCCGGCTAGCCAGGCCCTGGTTGACTCGGTGGCCTGCTCGATGGGTGGCAGGTCCGGGTTCGACCCGCGCTTTTTCCGCACCAGGTTGTCCGGTATACTGGCTCTCCGGTAGTACGTAGCTACAGGGAGGACAACGGAAATATTTCGTATTAGCATCCTTCGCAGACTTGTTGGGCCTCGGCGTTATTACCTCCATGAAAAATGGACGTATTTTTTTGGCGCGTCAGTGTGTGTGTGTGTGTGTGTGTGTGTGTGTGTGTGTGTGTGTGTGTGTGTGTGTGTTCCGCACTATTTGTAGTCAGCATAACT